GGGCATCCCCTCGTAGACGTTTCGCCATCCGCCACACTGGATGGCGAAACATCCCAACAAAGACAGCCAGCCGCCCCCACATGTGCCCTCAATTTCATCAGTAGTTGTAGTAGTAGTAAAGAAGAAGAGGTAGTAGTAGTGGTAGTGGTAGAAGTGGGAAATAAGGATGATGAGCCAGTCAAAAACAAAGGAAGGGGAGCACTGCAGAGAGCTAGATGCCCACAGAGGGAGAGCAAGCGCACAGAGGTGCGTTGAAAGGGAAGTGGTGAAATAAAAAAAATGAAGAAGGAACAGAAACACGAGACAGGAGAGAGAAAGACAACCCAGAGGAGAAAAGGAAAGAGGAAAGGGGAAGAGGAAGAAGAAAAAGAAAGAAAAAATGAGGATTCAGGTTAAGTCATGGGTGTTCTAAAGTTTGGAGCATTTTACAATGTAGTGGGAGAGGAAGGCATCTACAGAGACGAAGCCAGGGCTAAAGTTCATACAAGGAAAGTTGTGTATTAGAGAGGATTCAACTAGACGGCGACTGTTCGAGTTGGAAGTAGGGAAGACAGTTTTAGCAGAAGACCATCAATAGGATGGCTATGATCTCTGACGTGACAGAAAAGAGCATTGTTAGTGTGGGCAAGCCTAACACTATTTTTGTGCTCCTTAAGTCTGTCAGAAAGAGATCGACCAGTTTCTCCGAAGTTTTGAAGAGGACAGGAGGAGCAAGAAATAGAGTAGACACCAGGAACATCTGTAGAGGGAGGAGAGGTATGAACGAGATTAGTGCGAAGAGTGTTAGTCTGGCGGAAGGTAAGCTTGATGTCTAAGGGACGGAGAGAATTGTTGAGATTAGAAAGACCGGAAATGTAGGGAAGCAGAGGACAGAAGAGTTCCCATGAGTAGAGAGTTTGGGAGAGAAGAAATTGCGTTTAGCACGTGAGAGGGCAGAGTCTATGAAATGGGAAGGGTAGCCAAGACGGGAGAACGAATTATGAAGAGTGGAAATTTCTGCTGGAAGGAACTGAGGATCACAGATGCGGAGGGCATGGAGAAAGAGGGAGATAAGAACACTTTTCTTGACAGGGGAAGCATGATAGGAAAAGTAGTGAATGTACATGCCACTGTGCATAGGTTTACGGTAAACGGAAAAGGAAAAACCTGTATCTGAGCGGTGGACATGGACATCAAGGAAAGGAAGCAAGGAATTAGATTCCCATTCAGCTTTAAACTTAATGGAAGGGGCAAGATTATTAACCCTTTGAGGGTCGACAGGCCCTCTCCGAAACTCGTTCTCAGGGTCGGCCAAATTGAAAAAAAAAAAAAAAATTATTTTCTCTTATGAAAAGATAGAGAATCTTTTCCCGATCATAAAGACACCAAAAGTTTGAAATTTGATAGAAAACTTACAGAATAATGCTCTCGCAAAGTTAGCGGTCTCGGCGATGTTTACGCATCGGCGATTTTGCCCACTTTGAGCCCCATTTTCGGCCAATTTCACTGTACTAGTCGACAAAAAAACATGAATATTCGCTAGAAACTCCATTTTTTTCTATCGAATGGGTGCAAGAAAACCACCCATTTATGAAATTCAACTATCCAGTACAGTGGTCAGAATTTAGCAATTTTGCCAATTTCACACAAATTTCAAAAGATGCCAATTTCCGAATAGGGTCCAGAATAAACAAGAAAGACATTCCTAGCACTAAAATGACATTTTCTCTAGTCATTAGTCATGTCTCAAGGCCCCTCTTATATTCTTTTGCTTTCCACTTAAATTTTTATTCTCACAAAAAATATAAATTTACTGTTTGCGACACTGCATTGGGAAAAAGGGTATAAATATTAGGGGGCCTTGTGAAAGAATATTAACTTACCAGTTGACGTTTTTTGCACGCTTGGCACGTTTTGTTTATTTTTTGAAGTTTGGTAAAATTGAACATTTCGTACTTTGAGCTCAATTTCAAGGCACCTTTCTTGAAAAACCAGTAAAAACTCTAAATTTTTTTAAATATTTTTCCATTCTATAAAATGAGCCCCAAGAAAGCAAATAAAAACAATAAAACCATACAAAATACACGCAAATCGCTGATTTTTTTCAAAAAAAGGGCAAATTTTTTTTTTTTTTCTCATTATGCCGTGTGCTGCGGTTTTTTTTTAGACTGTGCACACGACCACATAGACCCTTTTCTTTCATAGAAGGCCTACCAGCTTCCCCCAGATTTGAGGCCGTAAATTTAGCTACTAGAAAGTCAAAAACCCCTACGCGAAGCGTACTATACCCCAAAAACCCCCCAAAAGGGGTTAAGAGCTTCAAAAAAAGGTTTTGGAAGAGACGGGTCATGAGGCCACAGAGCAAAGATTCATCCATAGGGGAGCCAGATGAAGGTTGCACATCGGGGTAGGATAAGAACATCTCAAATATTCCAGTAAAGTTAGCAAGGACAGGAGAGAGAGGAGAGCCCATGCGACACAAAGGGTTTGAGAATAATATTTCCCTTGAAAGGAAAAGGAGGGGGATCAGATCGAGAAAGACACATGGGGATAGGGATAAAGAAACCCTTCATGGCCTTCTCTGAGGAAATAAAGGGCCTCATCAAGGGGGGACATTGGTAAAGAGGGACTCAACACAAGACAACATTTTACAGTTGGGAAGACAAACCCGTTCAATGAAGTCTTGAGGTGACGGAGGTGGGCAGGAGAAAAGTACCAAAAAAAGGGAGTGATCCTCATTCCCCCAGCAGAATTTCCCCCTTTCATAATTCGTTTCTCCCTCTTGGTACCCTTCCCATTTATAGACCTCCCTCTACGTGCTAACGCAATTTCTTCTCTCCCAAACTCTCTACTCTGGAACCTTCTTTCCTCTGCCTTTCCCCTCATTTCCGGGTCTTTCTAATCTCAAATTCTCTCCGCCCTTAGACATCAGTTACCTTTCCCCCAACTAAAACTCTTTGCCCTAATCTCGTTCTACCTTCCTCCCTCTACAGAGTTCCTGGTCTACTCTATTTCTTGCTCCTCCTGTCCCCTTCATACTTTTGGAGAAACGGTCGATTCCCTTTTGAAAAGACTAAGGACACAAAAATAGTGTTAGGCTTTCCCACACTAACATGCTCTTTTTTGTCACCCAAAATCATACCATCCTATTAGGGGCTTCTCTAAACTGTCTTCCCAAATTTCCCAAATCGAACAGTGCCGCTAGTTGAAACCTCTCTAATACAAACTTTTCCCTTTTAAAACCTTGCCCCGGTTTGCTCTTTGTGCCTTCCTCTCCCACTACATTGTAAAATGCTCCAAACTTCAGAAAAAACCCCATGACTTAACGAATCCTCATTTTTTTTTCTTTTTTTTCTTCCTCTTCCCCCTTTTCCCTTTCCCTTTTCTCCTCTGGGTTGTCTTTCTCTCTCCCGCTCGTGTTTTGTTCCTTCTCATTTATTTTATTTTCCCCCTTCCCTTTCACGCACCTCTGGGCTTTCTCTCCCTCTGTGGGGCCCAGCTCTCTTTCAGTGCTCCCCTTTTTTTGTTTTTTTCTTGGCTCTCCCCTTATTTCCCCTTTACCCACCCTACTACACCCTTCTTTTTCTCCCTACTACTACATACTGAAATTGAGACACATTTTTTGGCATCTGGTTGTCTTTGTTGTGGACGTTTCGCCATCCAGTGGCTGGCTGGATGGCGAAACGTCTACGATGGGGATGCCCGGGTGTCATGCATGTGTCTTAATTTCATCTTGTCGGTATTATATACAATTCTTGTACTACTACTACTACTACTATTACCACCTCCACCTCTTCCTGCCTATATATAGCCGTCCTGCTCCACCTCTGTTAGTGTGACTTTGTCAATGGTCCAAGTCGGACCGAAACGTCGTCGTAAGCTTCTCTCTTTTATGTGCGGGTTATTTGTGTATCTAACTTTAATAATAATGTGTGTCAGGATCTAACTTTAATAATAATGTGTGTCAGGATCTAACTTTAATACTTTAATGTTGTGTGTATCAGGATCGCAACAACGACACTAATCTGATCTATGCTGCGCGGGGTGGTCACCGTGCGGTGGTTGAGGCGTTGCTGAAGAAGTACTGTGATGTGGACATTGTGGGCAAGGAGCGGAAAACTGCCCTCTACTGGGCAGTAGAGAAAGGGCACACTTCTGTAGTTAAGGTATGAAGTTGTAAACTATTTTGGTCTTCGATTTCCAAGTGAAAGTTGAACTATATTTTGAGGAATCACCTAAACTGTTACATCTATTTTTCTCTTATTTTTTGGGTTAAAAAAAAGTTTTTGCCTTGCAGGTACTGCTGAGTGCAAACCCAGAGCTAGAACACACCACCAAGGAAGGTGACACTTGCCTCTTACGGGCTGTGAAGAACAAGAACGCTGAAGTGGTACAACTTCTGGTGGACAAGAAGGCCCGGGTGTCAGTTGCTGATAAGAAGGGAGATACAGCACTCCATATAGCAATGAGAGGACGATCCAAGGTGAGTACCTGGCCAGGGTATACGATGAAGGCAGTGACACACATGTCTCTCAGTATAAGTACACTCACAGGTGTACCAGCTGCACTTCAAACCAAGCACACCAACCATACACTCTTCCATAGTTAAATAGAATGTTACATATTGAAATACTATTGTATATTCAAGTAATGCTTTTGCATATATAAGTTGACAGTGTATATTCAAAAAGACTTTTGTATATTGAAATATGTAAAAAAAAAAAAAGGCACAATACCATGACTGAAACGATACACAAATAACCCTCTGTGGGCACCTAGCTCTCTTGCAGTGCTCCTCTTTCTTAGTACTGTTAGACTGGCTCCTCCCCCTCCATGCTACCTTCCCCACTACTACTACCTTCTACTCCACTACTACTACTACTACCTCCTCTTCCTAAAATATATTTTCCCTCCTTCTCCCCTTTTTCGTTATTTGTGATTTTTGAAAAATTGGCCCCAAGTTGGCCCAAAAAATTTGCCCCGTAAGCTCCTCTCTTCATGTGCAGACTATTTGTGTATCTTTAAGTCACGGTTTTTTGGGGCCTTTTTTTGTTTTTTTATGGACCCCACAGTTAAGCGTTTTTCTTTCCAACTTTTTTAAAGTTCTTCCTTCCTTTTTTTAAAACCCCCCTTTCCCTTCTTATGAGGCTGCCCTTTTGCCCACCAGGCGTCGTAAGAATCACTTGCTTCCTAAGTGACTGTCTTGTGAAAAAGTTTTTGGCCCCCCCTTCTCCCATTTCCTGAAACCCCCCCCCACTGGGCCACTCCCTTTCCTGATCATGCCCCGTCTCATACTTTAACAGCTCTTTTTTTCTACAAGGGCTCCGGGTTTTAAAATGGGCCCTTTTTTACTTTCCGTCAGTGTCAACCCTTCCCTCTCTGCGTTTCCCCTTCCACAAGATCTCTGTAACCTTCCTCTTTCCATTGCTTTTGACACTGCTGCCCTGAACCCCCAAATTTTTTTTCTAAACTAAAAAAAATAAACTTTTAATGTCTCATCTGGGTAGCCTTGGTCGGGAAAATTTTCCCTTACCCACTGTGTTACTAACTTGTCTTTTGCGCACTCTTTAAAAATGAGCTTGGGAAATTCCCCGGGTTTGGTCTTTCCTTTGCCACTTTTTCCTGCCCCCTTTGGTGGTATTGGCCCCGATTAGCTCTTTTTATTCTTTTTTTCAGTCTCGCTCCCGTAAACTTTCTTTACTTGCCTTTTTTTTGGCGCCCCTGTCCCCCTTTTTTTTTTAGTCTTTTTTCAAAAAACACCCCCTTCCATTCCCTTAAACAATTTTCCCTTTTTTTCTCTTAAATCTAACCCCTTTAAAATTGTCCGTTACTATCTTCTGACAAAGGTAATTCATTGTTATCCTTGATACCCAGGATTACCTCTGTAAAGCTGACGTCTTGCTCTCTGACTCACGTACCTACACTCCTTTCGTTTCCAGCCCTCTTGATCGCATCAAGAAAACTTTCAACAAGAGACTAAGGACTCTGACCTCTGTCCTCCTGACTTTGACCTTGTTCAACGTTTTCCGTGTCAACTGCCCCTCTCTGCCCTATTTTTATGTCCTTTCCCAAAACTCATAAACCTGATATTCCTTTACGTCCTATCATATCCTCTCGAGGTTCTGTCTCTTATTTCTTGGCTGGCCAAAACCCTCACTCCCATTCTTGGTACTTTTTCTCCTGCCCACCTCTGTCACTCTCAAGACTTAATTGAACGGGTTCGCTCTCTCCCAACCTGTAAGATGCTTAGTCTTGATGTTGAGTCTCTCTTTACCAATGTCCCTCTTGATGATGTCCTTGATTTTCTTAGAGAGAAGGTATCTCCCTATACCTACTGATGTCTTTCTTGATCTTATCCGCCTCTGTTCAGACTCTAATTCCTTTTCCTTCCAAGGGAAATTTTTATTCTCAAACCTTCGGTGTCGCTATGGGCTTTCCTCTTTCTCCTGTTCTTGCAAATCTTTACATGGAATACTTCGAGACTGTTCTTCTTCCTACTATCGATGTGCGCCCTTCACTGTGGCTCTGCTATGTAGATGACATCTTTGCTCTGTGGCCACATGACTCTAGTCTCTTCCAACCATTTCTTGATGCTCTTATTAATCTTGCCCCTTCCACTAAGTTTAAAGCTGAATGGGATTCTAATTCCTTGCTTCCTTTTCTTGATGTTCATGTCCACCACTCAGATACAGGTTTTGCCTTTTTTGTTTACTGCAAGCCTATGCACAGTGGCATGTACATTCACTACTTTTCTTATCATGCTTCCTCTGTCAAGAAATGTGTTATCTCCCTCTTTCTTCATGCTCTCTGCATTTGTGATCCTCAGTTTCATTGACTCAGAAATTTCCACACTTCATAATTCATTTTCCTGTCTTTCCTACCATTCCCATTATCATAGACTCTGCCCTTCTCACGTGCTAAACGTAAAATTTCCCTTCTCAACTCTCTACTTCTGGGAACTCTTTTTGTCCTCTGCCTTCCCTACATTTCTGGCCTTTCTAACTCAACAATTTTTTCCTCCTTCCTTTGACATCAAAAGA